CCGGGCGGGCGGGGGGGGGGAAGAGCCTCTCTTTTGGCCGGCCGGCTCGGCTCGGCCCGGGGAGCTGCCGTCCAGCGGTCCCGCGGCGCTAGGAAGGGAAACGGCGCGCTGCTTCTGCCCATCGCCAAACGCCTGGGGCGCCGGGAGGACCGAGCAAGGCGGCCGCACCCGCACCCGCACCCCGGGCGCCTTGCGGAGCCCCGTGCCCGGCGGGTGGAGGCGATCCCCCTTCGCTGGGAGGTCTCCCTCCGGTCTGGCCCCAAGGAAAGCCCCCTTCAGCTGGCGGGGAGGAAAGCGGAACCCCTCTCCTCTCCTCTCCGCTCCAGTGAGAGGCCTCTGCGGGGGCGTGGAAGAATCTCGCCCCAGAGACGAGACGGGCTCCCCCTCCTGCGTCCTTTCGCGGCCAGCGGGGCACAGGGTTGGGGGCCCAGCGTCGAGGAGGGGCGTAGACGGGATCCACTGCAAGGCAGGATTCGGCCAGGGAGAGACCGGCTCAGCCGAAGCGTACTCGCGTGGCTGAAGCGGGTGCTGAGATTCAGGCTGCTCTGCAAAGGTCTGCAGTTCCCTGGGCAGGCGGACTGGTTGTGCAGATGCTCTAGGGAGGAGTCGGGTCAAGAAAGGACGTCTCTTCTCCTAAACTACCGAGAGAGGGAGAGGGAGGGAGAGAGAAGGAGCAGGGGGGTTGCTGGAGAGCCACCAAGATGTCCCGAAAATACTCCCAGCGGCCAGATAAAGGAAAACAAGGATCACCTCTCCTTGGGAGTCCATCTGGAACCCTGTGAGGGAATTCAAAGGCAAGGGCCAGGAGAGACGAAGGGAGGACTTGGCTAGAAACCAGGGATTTAGGAGAGCAGGAGAGGTCAGCAGGATCCTCTGGCTAAAATGGGCTGAGCAAACCTAGGAGTGAGAAGGAGCTTGGGATTGTCCTAGATCTCCACCTGAATATGAGCTAACCCTGTGATGTGGCTACAAAAAAGGCAAATGCTATTTTAGGCTGCATTTTGTGTGTGTGTGTGTGTGTAGTTGTTTACAGTGGGGTCTTGACTTGAGAACTTAATCCGTATTGGAAGGCGGTTCTCAAGTCAAAAAGTCTGTAAGTCAAGTCTCCATTGACCTACAGTGCATTGAAAACCGATTAATCCCGTAACAGGCCATTTTTGTTCCATTTTGGTATTTTTCTGGTCTGTAAGTCAATTCTCAGGCTGCAAGTCAAACCTAAATTTTGCGGCCAGGGAAGTCTGTAACTCAAAAAGTCTGTAAGTCAAGCCGTCTGTAAGTCAAGGGTCCACTGTAGTTCCCTCCGAGTCTTCGTGACTGCATTAGGCTGCATTAATAGAAGTATAGTTCCCAAATCCTGTGAGGTGCTATTTCCCCCTCTATTCCGCCCTGGTTAGGCCTCACCTTGAGGTTTGTGTCCAGTTCTGGAAACCACGCTTCAAGAAAGATGCTGACCAACTGGAACAAGTTCAGAGGAGGGCAACAAGGATGATGATCAGGGGGCTGGGAACCAAGCCTTATGAGGAAAGGCTGAAAGAACTGGGCATGTTTGGTCTTGAGAAAAGAAGACCGAGGGGAGAGAGGAGAGCACTTTTCAAATATTTGGAAGGCTGTCATCCAGAGGAGGGGCAGGATCTGTTCTCAGTCATCCCAGAGTGCAGGACAGGCAACAATGGGCTCAAGTTACCGGAAGCCAGATTTTGGTTGAATATCAGGAAAAACCTCCTAACTGTTAGCGCCGTACGACAGTGGAACCATTTACTTCGGGAGCTGGTGAATGCTCCAAAACTGGAGGCGTTCAAGAAAAGCTAACGACAACCACCTGCCAGATCTGCTTGGATGGTATTCCTGCCTTGAGTGGGGGGGTGGGGGTGGGCGGGCGTTGGACTGGATGGCCTTGTTGGCCCCTTCCAGATTCACTTTCTATGATTCTATGAAATCCTGGAATTTGGGGGTGGTTGGGTGAGTGGGTTTGGGCTAAGGCAGTGATTTCAGTTTAGAAATGCAGTCCACCCAAAGAGGCCAGGCAGGGACTAGCAGCAGGAGCAGCAGCATCATTCAGGCAGGAGCAGAAAGGAGATGCACCTTGAACTGCTAATATAGTAACTGTGTCTTTTTAGTCAAGCATGTATGTATTTATTTAAAATATTTCAGCCACGCCTTTCTTCTTAAAAAGGACCCAAGGTAGCTTACCTCCTTAAAAGAACAGTGCATCTTTTTGAAGGGGAAAGGTTATAGACCAAAAGAAGAATTAGTGTATATATTTTTGGAGTGGAATGGGGTGAAAAGGGGTACAAATTTGTTATTATGGGTCACCTAGTCCCAAGGGTGAAGATGGCACGGGTGGGGAAGGTTTAATTTCTATTGTGGATACAAATACTGAATTAGTATTTTAAGATAGTTTTGTTATTTGTTATTTTCCTATAA